GTGAATCCAGCCCACATCCTCCCAAATATTAACCCCCCCCATCTAAGCCTAGTTCTTCGGAGAAGTGTCTTCTCTTCAGGCTTTCTTATCAAAATATTTTTCGTATTAAAATTGTTTTTGATAGATTTGAAATTCTAACTTCGTCCAACAATACTGAACGTAACCTTTGCCTTTGGTTCTTTCTTAAATTCAACATCTGTGTAATCCACGAGTCTAAACATTATAAAAGTCTTGTATCGCCCTCGGTGAGATAGAAATTCGTCTCAGTAAGAAGTCACTGGTTGATTTATTTTTCTTATCATTTAAAATTTCATGCCCGTGTTTACTGTCGATTATAGAACGTCGATATTGTCCTCACTCCGTCAGTTTTCTGAATATTGTTAAATTTTAAAACACTATATTGTATAATTTTTTATTTCGCAAGACATATTGGAATTACAAAAAAACCGATGGAGACTTTTAAAGGGACTTTTGGACGGATGAGGCCGCAACGGACCAACAAGCAGCCTATTTGATTGCTATAAATTGAAAATCAATGGCGAATAGCCCGGCCTTGCTAGTAGCTGCCGCCAGACCACTAAAGCTGGTAGTATATAAAATGTATTTCTTTCTAAACAACAGCGGCAGAATAATAATAACAAAATACATGCCGTTTGTGGTGAAATTGCAACTCTTAACGTCTAGACCAGATCATGATGATACTGATGAGATTGTGGTGTTTTTTTCTAAAATAATACAGAAATTTATGATCACGTTACGTTAGACCATATTTATGTTACTTTTAATTCAGAATATGTTAATGATGTAGGACTAGCGCACTTTCGAAGTTTGAATGTACTGCCATTTTCCTCATTGTATTTGATAAGGCATGTTAATTTAAAAAATAACCTAAGTTTTTCAGCCGTTATGAAGTTCCCCCTTCATGAATCAGCGGACATGGCCTACATTTCTGCAACCAAGGGAAGGTATATTTCATATATGTTTGTATTTTATAAAATTATTGGGTTTTCATTTACGTGGCAAAACATGTCTAAATAAATATATTTATTTTGTACAGTCTATACACAAACGTTTAAAGTTTATTGGTGTTGTAAAAATTATATAATATTAATAATAAAAGCGCTAAAAATATAATGTAAAATCGTATTTACGATTAAGAGCGCTAATATAATATTTTACACAAATAAAATGTTTTAATATTATATAATTTTTACAACACCAATAAACGTTTGTGTATAGACTGTACAAAATAAATATATTTAATCAAACACAAACATGACGCATATAAGATACAAATTGGATGTCTAAATAAGTTGGTTTTGTTATTATTATTCCATATATTCAGCACTTTATAGGGTATTTACTTCTATGTATCCGAGACAAACGTTTCCCCTGAGGAAGCCCTAATATTGGGAGATCATTTTCTGGGATAAAGCGGCCGGAGCGTGAAAACTACAGTTCATCTACATTTATTAAGATTCCGCCGTGTTTACAACGAGCTGACCTTATACTCTGTACTTTCAGCATATCTTCATGACGCCCAGCTTTGGCACAAGAATAATCTTACGTTTATAGTTGTTATTGTTAGTACTGGTGTCATTATTATGTCACGTGATGTTTTGATACTAATGGAACCTCTGGCCGAAGTGTACGACTTGACACAATCTACGCATTTTATGTTTCCTTACTCATTTTACGACGAATACAAATTAGGTATCTATTATTTATTTATTTAGTGTTGTGTGTGACGACAGGTCAGGTCCATATGAACAGGATCCTTCCTTCCTTTTCTCGGACTGGGACCTGTTCATATATGTTCTTGGCAGATGATCCAGAAGTGTTTTGCCATTGCCTTCTTCTGTGTGTGAATGGGGTAATTGTTGGGATGCCACGGAGAAACCGGGGAAGCCCCCGTAGGAAAACTCCGTGTTGCCTAGACCACGGCCTTGCCCAACACAAGTTATAAATTCGGGCACCGCCGGGAATCGAACCCGAGACCCCAGGATTACAAGGCCAGCGTTCTAACCGCTAGACCACCGTGGCGGTCATTATATCTTATATCCTAATAAATTTAAGGCAAAATTCATGAATAATTTATTGGTTATGTTCCCACAGGCCTAATAGTTACTTTGCCATGAAGATCCTGGTGTATTGAATTATTCAGAATTTTCTGTCGGTTCTAAAATAATATACGTGAAAAACATAGCCAATGTTAAGTACATGGTCGCTGTGAGATATTTCCGCTTTTCAATAATACTGAATAGAAAAAAAAATATAGCAGAGGAAGTCAATAATACGACGAAGAAGTCTGGATCATGTTACACCAGAAGTTTGTACTTTAACAACCGACAGTCGCTTAGCTTGTCAAAAAATTCCTTGAATTAATGGAGCTCTTTTCACCAAAGATTCTTCCTTTCACAGTTTTAGACGAAGCTTTGAATGAGGTTATCATCTTCGCCAATACATTGCGAATCTGCCATTTTATTATCTTTGATTTATGAAACTGATCATTATGCAGTTTTTTTATGTCCTGTTTTGATTTTCCCTTCTGCAGAATTTTTGGTATTTCTGTCTTCCTTTGGACTGACAATAAGCCGGATATTTTTTCAAATATATCATCATATGGTGACAAACAGAGTAATTAACTCTTAAATTGTAGACATTTCAAGGTTTGTATACGGAACAGGAACTTAAAGACTTCTGGAACACACATTACGTTCATAAATCACGAAGTGAATGCATTATAGTAACTTATTCTGTTACTTTGCACAAAGATGATTCCTTACACAAAAAAGCAATTACAATATTTGTTACATTTAAGCGTATGAACAGACATACACTTTCCTTCCTAGTACGTAGATTTTCAGTTGTTTACACGGAACGCGGGTTAAATCTAAACAGGATTAGCCTTCTATATCGCTGTTATTCTGTCTGAGTATTTAGATTTTCCGTTGAGTATCGTATACATTTCACCCCCGCAATGGTACGATCGTTAGATAAACATTGAAAGGTTAGTGTGAGTGATACAACGCTATTACATAACCAACCACAAACTCAGTAGGCATACATGATTATTCCGAATCATGCCGTGACTAGATACATAACAGTTTCTTGGAACAGTAATCTCGTATTTATGACAGACATGGTTTTGATCTTGAACCATGAAGGTGTTAGATGAGAACGCAAATGTCACTATAACTTTATGATGCATTTATAAAATAAATGTAATTCCTGAACTTCAGGACTGCGTTAACCTTGTCCGTGCTGGCTTCTTCTGTTTGTAAATTCTGTTGTCTGAATTTCAATTGAGTTTGTAGGATCTGATGTTTTCACGGCGATACAAATTTTGATCGTGGTCTTGCGGACTTTTGTATCGCATAATTTTGTGGTCCATCATCTCGGAGGAACATGAGACCTCCTTCTTCGGGGTCGACGCATAAATGTTAGGATGTTCATGGGTTATGTAGATGTAAATAGATCGGCTATGAATCACAATGCAGATTACCCAGTAGAGCGAGGGTAAGAGGAAGGGAGGGGAGTGGAGTCCAAGTTGGATTTGAGGTTCTCAAGGTGGAGTGTCTGAAGGTGACGTGTCTTCTGGGTTGTAGCGCCGTGTAGCCTGGTGGAAGTTTACCGACGTTTCAGAAGTGTTTGCTGCTTTCATCATGAGGGTGATGATGATAATAATAAAGACAGCCATCTTATGAGAAATCTGTGAAAATTTTAGCTTCGATATTCGTGAAGTTCCAGTCATTTCGTACTGGATAAACACAAATGTTAACATGTTACACTTTTGTAGGTAACCGCTATTTGGCTAAATTACTGTGATTTTCATAATTTTTGTGCAATATGATGTCATATTACATATTAATTTCTTGGAGACATAAAATATATTCGCTGGTACAGATAGAATTTGGCCTGCAAAAGCCTGTCAAATGGCACCCATATTCAAGTTCTCTCTCATAATTATAAGTACCTTATGACTTAGTAGCTATAGGATTTAAGTGCATACAGAACTCTAAATCGGCCATTAAATTTTCATTAATGAACATTTTAAGTTTCCTCCACTGGCAACTCCAATTTTTACTGACTACAACACAGCTTATTTGTTTTCTTACACCATTCTTCATATCACAAGAATCTTCTCCACGAATGTGTTGAACTTCTATAAAATATCAGCTAACCAGTTTATAAAATCACGTACACATAAAGAACAAACCGGATCACAAAAAAAAAACAGTAATACAAGAAATCACAACATTTTGTAAGGAATTCTCTGATTACATTCCTCAGATTTGTCAGGCAGCAATTTGTAGAGTTTCTCACTGCCGAAAAACATTTGGTGGTTCAGATTTCAATGTGAACTTTTTCTATCTTGTGCACTTTTATAATTTCTCACTCGCATAAGAAGCGTGCAGATGTTACTTTTTGGATTATGACAGTTTAGACAGCGACGAAGTTCATAGTTCTGAAATGTCCGTAGAATACAATCCCATGTAAAATCAAAAAAAATTATCATCTTTATTGTCATTATAAGCATAAACGTGTGTTAAAAATCTGTTATCGATAGTACTGATGACGAAAAATGCGACACACTCCAACAAGTGGCCATTTTAAAAAAAAGTTTTATAGAATTTTTCGAACTATACGGAAGAACACAACTACACATAAACATCATTATGATCGACTTTTATATCATTTAGCTACATAACTTGTTCAGTCTTCGTAATGAATTCCATTAATGGAGCGAATTTGTCACCACATACGAGTATGGTGGCTTTGTTCACTTCTGGTAGATTTATTTATTTATTTGTAGTGTTCTGTCTGAGGACAGGTCCATATGAACAGGATCCTTCCATCCTTTTCTCGGACTGGGACCTGTTCATATACGTTCTTGGCAGATGATCCAGAAGTGGTTTGCCATTGCCTTCTTCTGTGTGTGAATGGAGTAATTGTTGGGATGCCACGGAGAAACCGGGGAAGCCCCCGGAGGAAAACTCCGTGTTGCCTAGACCACGGCCTTGCCCAACACAAGTTATAAATTCGGGCACCGCCGGGAATCGAACCCGAGACCCCAGGATTACAAGGCCAGCGTCCTAACCGCTAGACCACCGTGGCGGTTCTGGTAGATAGCCGACGTATATTTCCGATTATTCTATTCAGATTTTGGTTGAATAAATAGTGGTCCTACGTCGTGGTTGACGTACTGGTAACAGTGGTCTCCTTAATAGCCCACCTGGTGATTGGAGTAGGCGTTGGCTGGTGCGAAGTGACTTCTTCACATATATCAGGCTCAGCAGATGGTATCACTTCTTTCTGAATTTCGAACTAAAGGAGCCTCGCGGAGGTAACGTGTTATGTTTCAGGTAAGGGAAGGTGTTCGCGTATCCTAGAATCACCTCGTTGCTACATACGGCGGAGGTGGAGTACACGGGACACCGCACTGATCAACACTGACTTCTTGTAGTCTGCTGACGGTTTCTCTTCGAGACGAACTACTTGCTGAGTCAAAATTTGAATTAGTTTCGGAACTACACGCTGATGCGATCTCAGAACTCATTTCTACATGTGCTGCAGACCGGGTGGTAGATCTATTTGCTGATGTTGATGGCGTGGAGGGTTGTGATGGATGAGAATGTGAATTGGCGCCATTGGTGGTTGCTAGGAGCAGAGACGGACTTAGTTTAATCGCGTCTTCATAGCTGGGTGGCGCATCAGCTACTGTGTCATAGTCTGGTGGCTTCTGCTGAATGATATTCGATTCCAAAGAGCATGGCACTTCGATCACGTGTATCTGGTGGTCCAATTCGGAGATCTACAACAAACAAACGTTCATTGAAACATGCCTTGTAAGGAAAAAGTTTACACCCATGTCAAAATAATATACCACCAAAAGAATTGAAATTATTGATACAATACAGCAAGGCATTTTCTTACTTCGTATAGCAAGAAGATACATAAAGACTAAGAATGATTGATTAGATTGAAGAAATTCAGTGATACATTTTATCAGGCGCATTTACAAGTAAAAGTTGCAAGAACTGTGCCTATTACCTTTAGCCCTTTCAGCCTGTCTGCATGTAACAACTCGAGGGCCACTAACTGTATTTTAATGACATTTGCATTGCGAAGTTTGAGCTTAATCTGGCGATTATTCCAATTCTGGTTACAATTGGAGGAAGAAATGGCACTTTACATGCGTTTCTGCGCCCGATAATGA